ATTTTCAAAGGTTATCTAATTTCAGGTAGAATCGTAAAATTTTAGAAATGACCCGATAATCGTTGTTAATTCATTCGAATTATCCGAATCATTTGTCGCAAATGGCGTTGTTTATAATAATAAAATTAACTGTAAAGTTATAATTAACGTAGTATTATATAAATGGCAAACAGTGGCCAATTGTGTGGCTAGTAAAATTAATGTGATATTGTTTGGAGCACTATGATCGGTATGTCGCGATTACTGCAACACCAATTGTACCGGCCAGCAGAATTTAAAACGTAGCGGAGTAATGTCCGTCTCGAACGTGTTGAGGCAGACAGTTACATGTAGGTGATGTAGGTGAACGACATACTCGTAAAAGTCAATCCTTGAAGCCATCTAACTTAATCTATTCGTAAAAATGTAACGAAAATGGCTTGTTCGCCTTGGCATAGTTGGATCAACCAATTGCAATTTGATTTATTGGAAACTAAAGTTTTCATTGTGAGTTATTTTGTAATACATTGTCGAATGTATTACAATGAAATTTCTAGCTAAGTAGAAAAAAACTAATGTTAGTAGTATTACAAAAGTTTGTGCAAAACATGTTAGTCGTCTCGATTGCTTAAGAAAATTAATAGTAATGTATCGGATCTTCTATTGCCACTGAAGATATCTGAATGTATTAATACATTTTTAGAAAATAATTTTTAGTAGTAGAAAACTAATGAGGTGCTATGTAAAAATGGCAGCCGATAACATAAATATGGTCAATTATATACACAATGCTTCAAAAAAATATTTGTATGTTCTGTTCTATCCAGATCATGTATGTACATACATTGCTAATAAGGAAAATCCGAGACAAACCCATATAGTACCCTTACGTATACCTACGTATTTTCCATCAACAATTTTTATCTGATGATTTGGATAATATTCTATAGTTCAATAATCGAGTTGGCACATTGGAAATCTATGGACACCACAAAGGAAGGATATAATGCGTTGTAGAGTCACGTCACGTTGTATTTTGCATTACAAACGAGACGATTGCTGATTGATTCACTTTATTTATTGACTGGATACCAATACATAAACCTCTTCCGTTACTGGTTATTGGGTAACTGATAGTCAATTTTTACCTGAAACCAGGTACTGGGCAAAAATTCAATGAAGTAGGTAAATGTTTTTGTTTGGGAATGCGAAGAAAGAATAATCTACAATTATTAATTCCTGGAGGAATTGGAAAAGAATGAATTATGAGCACGAACGAAGTCGCAGGCGTTGGTTAGACATTTTATATTGTAACAAAGAACAGTTTCACTTTCTTCGACAGGTGCGATATTTGAAGTAAGTTCCCTATATATGGAAGTAATAAGTGATATAATTGTATGGCAACTGTATCGGAACCGTCGACGGTCATCCGGCAGTTGGTAGGTTATTGGCAGCAAACTAATATTTAAGTTGGACCGTAATGGCTATGTTATGAGCCGTAATGAGTCGGTAAGATCATAGATTACTGCGTACGTAACTAAGTGGCTGTAATCGATACTTAACGTATTCACTTTGTTTTAGTAGATTAAATAACTAAGGTGTGTACGTCATTGATTGATTATGTTGTCGTTTCTGGGAACCCTTTTAATGAATGACAGGTATGACATTAACTCGTCGAGTACCGGTTTTGTAGACACAATAGAACAATAGGTTGCGGTCACCGGTGACCGCTTGGTGTTTGACAGTTTAAGGTAAGAGTAGCGAAATAAGCTTTACATATAGGTAAGTACTTATACTTTATTGTATAAGAATGCGTTCCACATTATTAGAACACTTGTAATATATTTGTCTAGTTTGTCACACCGTCCTTTTTGTCCGCCAATTGTTGTGAAAGACATTTGTAATCGAACGCAGTAACCCGGTTTTATCTTACACGGTTGTGAAGTGTTCGTCTATCGTCTAATGCCGTAATGCAGAAGCGGAGCATTAAAACGCAGGGACGTAATGTTCTGCAACGGTTGTGCAACTCATTTTACATATTCACCTACTGCACTGCACAGCTGCCGTATCAAACGATACCGTTGTGTAATTTACTATGAACTTTCACACTTCACCGATTCTTCCTGGGAATTGGAACTATTGACAGAATCGCACATTAAAATGTTGTTAAAACCACATTAGGTGGACATTGATTGGAAGTCAGACAAAAACAATTTCGCCTAGCTTGTAATCAGTAGTTATGTTATATTACAATAACAACACATCCATCATTGTAATACCTACTGTATTACGTACGTGCAAAGTTCATCTTGATACTTTACCAATCCATATCGCTTCCTTCTACCTAAGTTATTTAGTGTGAACTTGATTTGGATCAAGAGACACACCATTTCATAATATGCGGAACAGAAACAGTAGTTTCTGAATTCCTAGATCTCGGAATAGTTGTTGTGATTAAGGTAAGCATTCAATATTTCACTGTATTTGTGTTTTGATTTCAATTGCCGCTTGAATATATCAAGCGATGGTTAAAATCGATCGAAACTCAGGAAATTAAGTATTAATAAGCGTTAAGTGTAATCAATTATGTTTACAACTTTCTAATCACAGTTTGTCGGGTGTATCTTCCAATTATTGTTGACTGAGAATATTAATAACAGTCTTGTTACTTCCTGTCATTCAGCTATGAATGGACGATGAGAAAATTTGTAGCAACTTACGTTGAAGAGGTTGGTGCAGCAACACACGCAATGAAAGCATCGCTCGCGTGTAAAATGATGCATTGATTAAATCACATGCTTAGCACCTACCAAGTGATGTTCAATGTATTTTAATTATAGCACTTTTATGTATTTTCGAAGGTTCTAGTGATTAGAAAGCGATGCGTTTTGCAAGCAGCTGGCCGCTGCGGGCCCGCCGGTGTCGGCGACTACTTGCTTAATGCAACGCACGTGCTTCGCGTGCGAGGCGCACGCCGCCAAGGCGACCACGACAACAAATATTGAGTAACCATTGACAGTGATAACGATCTATTGATATCTTCAATTTAGTGCAATCCGGTACATCTAGATGCAAATCTCTGACGTTCCATTATCTGTTACTTTATCTCCCGATAAACTAGGCGGTAATAATTTCATTGATAATAGATCGATTAATCAGTAAGTCGATCGAAAATGTTTTCCTGTCAAACCAATATGAAATTGAATTTTCCTTTTCAGATTATTTAAGATTAAACTCAGAAATAGTGGTCCAAGTAAAATTTGTTGTTAGTCTAAGTATTTAAGGCTTAGTAGGTAGGTACATGTTTGTATTATGTTGTGAATAGTGGACGAATCTTCAGTAGATGTCGCAAGGGTGTCTCAGTGATTGTAAGGGAAGGGCTACATCCACTTGTGCAATGTTTCCATTGTATCGTGATCCTCTGCCAAGCGTGGCAAATGTGGCAATTTTGTAAGATTTTCCAGCTGTTAATCCGGTCAATGGACAGAATTATTTATATGAAGAGAACGCATAATTGGACGGTTAATGGAATTTTTCCTATATACATAACATTATATGTATGAAATGAAAACAAGAGCTTCGTAAATTGAACTAATAAAAACTTTACAAGTACTATCTCAATTTTAATAAGTACCTTTCTTGATTGTTACATAGCTTTTTTTGCCTTAGTATGGTTTGTTCAGTATTGGTCCGTTTTAACTTAATCGTTTGGGATAACTTTTTTCTATATTTGAATTTCTTAACTCCAATAATATAATTTAGGAAATGTGGGGCCCCTATAGCTGTTTTGTTTAGCGTTTTTTCGACTGATAAAAAGGTCAAAATGTTATCTTCTAGTATGTTTATTATTTTACGGTATTTTGCACATCGCCCGATGTGGGCATTAACCTTGTTTTAAATATCGGTGTTCGCCTTCCAATATTAAAAAAAAAGTATATTCACCCCGTTTTACTGTAATTTGTATTTCCTATTCGCAAAATTGTAAACAATTCTATATTCCGCAGATTTAACCTCGTTTTTCTTTATTAAAAATGTTCTGGTATTGAAAGCATTTGTTATGATAAGATTATTTTGTAAAACTGAACCGTGTGACTACACTGCTTTGCAGAAACAATCGCATAAGCATACGCGTAATGGTATTACTAGAAATTGTTATACATAGTTATATTATATGTGAATGTTTTGATGTCATTAAAATAATTGGCCATATAATAAATGTTTTTCATGGCAATTTGTTCAATCGCATTATTTAAGGTTGATGAATGAAGAGCCGAGTTAACGTAATGAGGGTTTTGAGCGATTACGTAGGTACTTGGAAATTGATTGCGATTCGCATTCAGGCGTAGAAGGTTTTTCATGATTCGCTATATTGGTTACGAACTCGGAAACATTTCCTCGAAATACTTGAAGTTTCTGTTGACATAACGTAGCGGCGCCGGCACTATTGTCTTTTTATTATGACATTGGACTCGAAATCTGGTTTCGTTTTCGTAACGACACCCCTGATTCAAAAGATATTTTTATTTTTGGAGCTTTTTATAAATATATTTAACAATTTACGTTTCTTTTTTTATAACTTGGTTGGTAATTGTTAAAGTTGAAAGGGTGTAGTTCTAGATATGTTCAAATTAAATTAATTGAGTTTGTGATTTAGAGAAAATAAGGCTTTATGTACTACACAAAATTTTAAAGAAACTATCCATAAATGAATTAATCTTACAATTTATTTGATAAAGTCATGCGTGAATGGGTTTAAGAAGGTTGGTTCTAGATATTTAGAATTAATGATTGTAGAATATTTATTTCTTTATTATTCATCGTGAAAACCAAATAGTTAGATATTTGCAATTTATGGCTGTAATGTCGAGAACTCGTTACATTTTTCATGTTTGTTTTATGAGGACGTAAATTTAAATATTTTACCTTATGTACTTTATTAATTGAAACAGATAGATGCCTATAACAGTGAAGACAAATAATCACGTTTTATGTACAATAACACAATACTTATTATCACTTACCCGATATCCTGTAATTCGCTTTTGTACCGCTTGCTCCCAATTTCCCGCTTCGCTCAGCTGTTTGTGTCACCGCTGAAAAATGTGCGTCAAGCACGAGGCTCACGTAAACAACCACGGGATGATACTGACAGCTACCCGTTACTTAATACATTTTATATAACATACATCAGTCGAATTTATATGTAGTTACACTTTGAATGGGAATGGCTTTAAATGGAATCACGTAATTTCGGAGCGTTTCCGAGTGTTGTAATACAGGCGAACGTACGCGCGTGCGCGGTTCGGGAAAGTGTTGTGTAGACTGGCCTGTGGTGGCGAACCCAGCCGGTACACTCGCACTGCCAACTGCAGACCGGCTTCAGACCGCACCACTTTCATTACACTACTGCAACCTGACGAACTGCGAGAAGTCATTTCGTGTACACGTCGCAATTTATTCCACTGATTGATGCCTAGATAACAAATCATATTTCAAGATCATAAAAGTATTTGAGAACGTTCTCTAAAGCTGCCTCGTAATTGTTAGTGTTTAATGTATTGACAGTCGAGGAGACAGGTGAAATGGCTATGAATAAGAAAGTCTAGACGAATGTTTATGTATGATACAGCTAGGTTTATATTACAGGTACTAGACGCGTCATTTGTGTCAGTGTTAGAGCTTTTCTAAATGAAAATTACAAGTTTATTGGTTCATTTATATTGATCGATGCATCGTAGGGTTGCCATGGGTATCTTTGATGTACGGTGTGAGGCACCTGAGAGCAGTTCTTAAATTCAATTATAACATTTTCCAGTTTCTCTTAAAAGTTGTCTATGCAAATAATAAATCTCTCATTTGATGATATTGTGTGGATTAACATAATTCAGAGGTTGTAAACCTTTTCAATAGAATCGTTATTACTACTGGTGTAAAAAGCTCTACTAGTTTCGAGCCAATGAGCCCCTCGGTGGCTCGAAACTAGTAGAGCTTTTCTCAGTCCTTTCACAAGAGTAACATCCGATTTTTAGTTAATTTAGTATGTCTCACGATAGTTATTATAAGAACAAAGCTCCTTCTCTTGAAATGAGTCTCAGATAAAACTAAAATTTGTAATTAGGCGCTGTTTTGGTAGGTGCGGTATCAGATCTGGAATTAAGGACAGTTGACCAAGTTTACCGTATTTTAATATTAAAATTATTATTCAAATAAATCACTTTACTTCGACACTCTCATAAGTGGGTACCTAAGTACGTCTCTGCTTTCTTTATTTTTACTGCAAAACAAAATCAGATCTATTTTTATTATTACCAAGATTGACTTAGATTAGTTATACTAAACAGAGCGTAAGCACAAACCAAAATACAAACTTCTTTAGTAATTCGTAGTCTTTGTAGCCTTGACATAGTGTTCTTATAGAAATGAGACCATTGTATCGTTTTGGCCCGTTAATTCTCCGGTAATTAATCAAAACAATTAATATAATATTAGTAGTGAAAATAGCTACCCACGAGATTTTGAATAAAATTCTCGGTGTTATAAAATATATCAAGAATAGTTCTGTCGCATCAAATACTTAGAAACTTTTGTAAAATAACAGAGATAGTATGATATTTAAGGATAACGTAAAATGCAGTTGCATTTTAGTATTCAGGCGTATGATGTACATCATCATGTCATAAAAATAACTTTTGTTCTCAAATGTGGCGAAGATGCAAGATGAAGAGCGAGACCATGTAGCTTAGTGCAATAATTATAAACTAAGTTAAAAAAACTGAATACAACCCCTCTTTTTTGAAGTCGTTTAATTATTATAAAACCTTCTTTTAAAAAACACTTACAAACACTTTTCTGAAAACCATATCAAAATCAGTTTAGCCCATCGCGAGATAATCGCCCACAAACATAGGGACATATAGGTCCAACTGAGAAGCTCTTTTTTGAAGTCGGTCGTAAAAGTAATCAGATCTCATTTAGAGTCAACTTTTTAAACCTACATGTCCAGGCTTAAATCGATAAACCATAATTTTGTACTTACGACAAAATATTATAGCCGTAGCGTAATTCGCAGTTCGTAGCGTATGCGCATGGTTCGTAGTGTATATATAGCTCGTAGTTCGTAGCTCATGGTTCGTAGTGCATGCCCATGGTTCGTAGCGCGTAAGTCGTAGTTCTCAGCTCGGTTCGTAGACCATATTTCGTAAAGCGGTGTTTGTCGTTCTCAGTTCAGTTCTCGTGGTTCGTAATTCGTAGTGAATACTTCGTAGCGCGTACCTCGTAGTTCGTAGCGTGTAGCTCGTAGCAGCGTTTACCCGCTATTGATCTCGTAGATGTGCAAACCGTGGACTCCAGTGTGGCAAGCAAGGTGCAAGGAAAGAGTGTACAAACTCTATAAAAATTTGTGGTCTGAGCATTATGTTATTACAAAAATATTGTATAACAGAAGAGTAATATAAACATTTAATTGATTTCTAAGTTCGAGTCCATACGGTACATGACGAGTAGCAAAACGGCTGAACAATGTAAATATTTTGAATAAGGTGTAGAAGTTGTAAAGTAGAGCTATAAAATAAAACGCAATAGGGTACTTTACTTTTTAATTCTTGTAAAATGTAGTTGGTATTTTTTCAATTATCCTTGTATGTAACAGGAAAGGTTCGGCTAACCTTGACATGACGTAAAAAATTGTAATGTACCTTATTTTGCAAACATTGGTTATTCCCATCACGTGAGTTCGGGATAGGTCTATTTACCAATTAAGTCATGGGGACTGAACATTATGACAAATAATGCCTACTTTTTGATGTACTTAGTAGTAATTATTATTTTACTGAGTTGTTACTCAGTTTGTTTTGCTTGTGTAAAATTTGTTCCATAGAAGCGCACAAGGTCTTCTTAATTTCGTCTCAGAGTGCAAGTTAGGAACGACTAATTATGGTGATTTCTGTATGAGTATGAGAGTGTATTATCTCAGTATATAGGTATCCCAAAGCAACGCAACTGTCTCAAAGCAATTGAAGATCGGGTTACGTACAAAGTTACTCTTTGTTTTACTTGTTTTACCAAAAAAGGACTTTCAATATGTACATGTAGGTTTTAACAGATATAAAGAAGTGCTTCTACTGCCAGCTTCTGTTTCAAAATCTTCAGTGCTCCTGTAAGATCAGAGCACGACTACAAAGTTATTATAAGTCTTGTTATAATTTCTCAAGAGTAGATATGCATCTGCATGTTGCACGTGTTTCGTAAAGGCAATCTGAGATAGTCCTATTTATCTCGTAAGACTTGGGCACACGTAATTATTATTATGCAAAGAAGACGAGAGATTTATTCGGCAAATTACGCGGTCGCACGCAATGCAGTCGGTGTTATCACTTCCAGTATTTTTGCTATTAAATGCCAGTGTTTGTTATATAACACGTAGGTACCTTCTATATATTGCTACAGCTATTATCTGTCTAGCCCAACCCGTTGGCACGCAATGTCCAATAATTTGTTGCAACAATCTGATAAATGGCGCCAGTCTGCAGTCAAAAATTGCAAAATTTTGGTTAGGTCACAACTTGTGATCGTTTTTTAATATTCATTTTTACCGTCTCAATAAACTTTAATACTTCCTAATTGAATTGTTGATTAAGGTGTATGGAGTAATGTATTATAACTCTGATTGTACAATTATGATAATATCGGATTAATATAACCGGAAATTATTAATTGGGTAACTACCTACTTATAAATACCTAATTAGGTAACAATATGGATATGCTTTTATTATTTGTTTTGATTTACTTGTTATTGTGAAGTTTTTAAGATGAAGGTATTCTGTATTTTCTACTTTAGATAGCAAGCACGACAGGTAATTAAGTAACAATAGGTTCGGCCGGCCGCTGCGACTGTCAAACAAGGAATCTCGAGCTCTACTACCGAGTTTATTGACTCAGAAAATTATCTATTAAGATTTTCGATTAGGGAAATTTCAAAAATCGCTCTTATATCCTAGTGAAAAGTCGATGTATGTAGCCAATGTTGCATAACGTGGAATGGCATCTTTAGGGGAATAGAAGGCGTGAAGTTAAGCATGTATAATTACGATCATATTAGACTTTCTTCTTCTAATGTTATTTGCAACCTGCTTATTAGACAGACTCTAAACATTGAATTAGATAGGTAATCACGATATCTGCCATTTTTTGCTGTAATTATATAGTTGAGTGAATGCTAAAAGATTTTAATGTTTATTATTAGGTATTATATCAGGTACTTGATACAAAATTATGGTAATTAAGTGCCTCATTTAAAAACAACCGCCTAGGTACAAAAAGCGTTGTCGTCAAGCTTACACGCTTGGATTAAGTGGTTAGTAACATAGGTATGTACCTATTGTAAGTATATGTATACTTAGTTAATATTTCGTTCAGACTTCAGTCTCAACATTTTATTGATATCCTGAATATTTTTTCGATAGGACTAACGAGTTAGCTACTTAAGTTAGGTTGTGGAACTAGTCAACCAGTGGATTTGATTTATATCTATTAGCAGTGGCAATAATTTTCTAGTCCAATGTTTACGATTCCGAATATAGGCGGATGTTACGTTACCTATGTATCTGAGTTATTTAGGTAGTAAAATCAAATAATGTTTTTTATTCTAGCCTACTAACGAGTCATTGAGCGTGATAATGAAACTTATAGGCAGTTTATAGCAATTAAAGGCAATAATAATAAAACACAACTTTTTAGTACTTTGACCTGCTAGCTACGATACTTGGTGGCTGACCTATCACACTACCCTTGTTTCTCTAATAGATTTCAACCTTAAGATTTTAAAATAAAGTTGAAAATCTAATAATTTAATCTCACAGTTTCGGGTAGGTTGAGGTGCTGGAATATCTATTTCTACATCTAGGTCTTATGCTACTGGCGTCGGATGCATCGCAACAGTTACATAACATTTCTTTGATTACCGCACCTGCCTACAATTTGCGTTCTATTTAGCTTTTTGATTTAACTATAGATATACTAATATGTGCAGTAATTGATACCTGTTCTCAATTAAGACTTGAAAGGCGAAACAAAAAATGTTGGCTCCTTGCATTCCTTGGAGGTTTTAAAGAGAAAGCTTGCCGATGCGTTGGTTAGGAGATAAGAATGTATTGAGCTGTATGTTTTTGGAATTCCTTTGGACGTGTTCGTCTTTATGTGAGTAGGTAAGTATCTACATGCTTTTTAGTGAAGAATTCTACAACATAACATAAATTCACGCCTTTTTATCCCCGAAGGGGTAGGCAGAGGTGCACATTATGGCACTTAATGTCACTGCGCACTGTGCAATGTAACACCCACTTTTCACTATTTATATTAAGAGTCCTATGTAATAGGAGGTGAGC